AATAAGCAGATCTCTTCAAACCCTGATTTGCTTTATGTCAGATCTATTTCTTGGCCTTTGTCATAATGATGGCTTTGGCGTTGCATCTCTCAAAGGAGAAAAAAACCTCCAATGCTATCACACAGTAAGCCCAGCAACTCCCTGCAGGATCCCTGGCAGCTCATTCATTCCTCTCTGAGCCACACAGTCAGGTGAAAGTGACAGGCACATTTTGGTCTCTGTGTCCAGTGATTAAACTTCCATTTTTGGGTGAGCAGATGTGTATGTTTGCTAGGTATTGGTATGTGGGATTGTACAAAGATTTGGGCTTATCTGAATATAAATACTTGATTTTACCCAACTCAAGTTCCTCTCCTTAGTGGCACCTTAAAGAGATTATATTACCTGAGAGTTCATAAGGATAACCAAAAATATGTAAAAGAGTGAATCTTCTCTTGGGGATAAGTTTACAACAACATGTACATACATGTATGTGGCAACTTACAAATAATATTACATAACTTCACTGTGGTTTAGGTGAAGGTATCAGTCACCAACCTTCCTTACTGGGGCATCCATGAAAACACTCAACCAGGAGTGGTCGGGAAGCATTTGTCCCTCTCTCCTCCTCCTAGATACATCAGCTTCTGTGTCTGCACTAGTCTGGCTGTTTCTTAGTGTCAGGATTGAAAACTTCACTGTGAAGAATTCTCTTTTCTCAACTTATCACAGGTTGATGTCCAGTTCTTATATTATTGGGTTTATGTGTCAACTGCATAGAGCTGTGATCCTGTTGTTTTCTCACTTTTCTCTTCCCAGTCGAACAAACACAAGGGAGGGACTGTTGGAAGGGTGACTCCTGTGTGCACTGGTTTTTAGAGTGGTGGGAGGAATTTTGGATTAGAAGAAAGGACAGAGAGAAAGTGCTGAAAGGAAGCAAGAACATTTTGGGCCAAAGGTACAAAGCAATATCATGAGTAGTGTACATGTGTGCATGTATGTGAACATGTGCATGTACACACACACACACATACTTCCATACTCTATTATTAGTGTCACTGTGCCTCTATGCTGACATAAATAATTTAAAAGTTGCCTCCATAATCTGGCTAGCACACATCACTTTTGCTACATCACTTTTGCTACACATCAGAAGAACCTTAGGGAATCCTTCCTCTAGCAACAATTGTTAAACTTCAAAATTGCTAAAGAAGTAAAATCTTCTCTGACATACTTAAAGATACGTTTTCACTCTGATAGTTGAATTGTCCTCTTGTATAAAGTGGTGCGATGATGAGTTCTCAAACTCTCACTGCTACATCTTTGATTCTGGGATCACTTAGAACTAAAGGGAAATTCCTATATCAAGCCAGAGTTAAAAATTAATTATAATTACCCCATAGCCGAAGTCACATGCACCTGGTATCCATCTGATTCCTTCTTATCCATTAGTCAATCACACACATGCCTTTTCTGAATGACATGCTGCCCTCAGTAGAAATAAAAAAGATTGTTTCAAAGCTGCCCATTGGCATGTCATGCACTAAAACAAACCTTTGTTAAGTTATATAAAGGGTAGAATTTTAATTGCAGATTCAGGGGTAAAGTTCTCATTACTAACTCTGCCCCTTGTCTGCGTGTGCGTTGGCCTAGGAGGAAAGATGAAAAGACCTAAACAGAGGTGATTAAAAAGGGTGTAGGGAATGATGCAAGAACTTACAATATTTGAGAGCTACAAAAATAGGAAGGGTTTTGAGCACAGATAATTGTGGATTTAAAATTTAGAAGAACCTCAGAGACCATTGTCAAAGTTACAAAAGGTTAAAATTAATAATAATGACAAAGTTCTAAAATTGTAGCTTCCTAGCTGTAACATAAGCTTAATTTCCTTTTTTTCATAAGCCTAATTTCCTAGTTAAACTTATTTCATGTTTCTTTATTTAGTTCAGCTTTTTTTTTCAGTTCAGCTTTTAAAACTCCCAAAGCAACATTTTATATCCAGTCTTTACATGTAGGAATAAAATACTCATAGCAACATTTTAAGAATATCTTCTTTTCTGTGAGTTTCTATGGCATCATGAACAAGTTTACTTTTCCATTTAAATATCTTATATTTACAAAGGTCTTCAAAGTGCATTAATATTCTGATTTGAGCAGTAAAATCATATGGTCTCACAGCTGGATCTAAACGAAACTGCAGTCAAAATTATGCATAGTGCTTATAATAAATGTGTAGTTGAGTTGAACTTACTTTCTTATGGAATCTAGGTTTATGGATTGACTATAGTGTTCTCCTCTGGGCAGATGTCTACATTTTCATATCTTTACTGGTAATGTCAACCTGTTCCTCACCGCTGCTTAGGATGTTAGCCATATGTTTATCTGGGGTCAAAAGAACCAGTACACTTGGTAATGTTTTCCTTACCCATGGAAAGACTATCTCTTACCTTGTGGCTATAACCTGAAATATTTGCCCAAGCCATCCCTTTATGAATTCTGATAAAGTTTAACTGTTTGCTACTTTTGTGTTCCACAATTCAGCAGACACTCTGATGTAGTTGAAGCTGTATTCAATGACTGATCCACATAAATATACCATCTTACATCCTCAAACACTTTCAGTTCAGAAAAGAGAGTGACTAACACCGAGAAGCAAAGAACATTAGATTAGCAGTCAGTGCCTGGTCTAAAGTAGGTGCTCAATTAAAACACACATACATAGACATTAAAAAAAATGGGGACACCTGCCTGCATGGCTCAGCGGCTGAGCGTCTGCCTTCGGCTTGGGGCGTGATCCTGGAGTCCTGGGATCGAGTCCTGTATCGGGCTCCATGCATGAAGCCTGCTTCTCCCTCTGCCTATGTCTCTGCCTCTCTCTCTCTGTGTCTCTCATGAATAAATAAAATCTAAATTAATTAATTCTAGCCCCAGCTCTGTGACTATTAAATAGTTTAAGCTCAGAGAGACTTGTCTAGGATTCCAAATGTCTAAGAGACATAATGTTCTAAGAGAACTTGGGCACCTCACTTCATCACTTTGGGCCCATTTCTTCATCTGTTAAAAACCCCAGTCCACTGAGAGTTACCATGAGGGAACTTTAACTTGAAAATTATCACCCTTGCTGGGCAACCGAGTCACTTACAACGTGGGAGCTTCCACAACTATTGATGCCCGGACTCCACCTCTAGAGATCAGGTTTCAGTTGTTCTGGAGATGGGAGTCTTACGCACTTACATATTCTGAAAGCACCCATGATGATTCTAATGTGCAAGTAGAATTGAGAACAGCTGCCCAAAAGAAAGCTTTCTAGCATCTTCTTCCTCTCTGTGGGAGAAAGACTAATTCATCTGCTTAGATGGCCAAGGTCTGGTGATAATTGTTCCAGCTTTCTCTATTGGGCAGCACTATAAGGTTTATGGTTTGACCTGACCTTTGGATCTGTGGGGTGTTCTGGTCAGCCTTGTGGAATGCCACTCAGGGGTAGAGAGCTCCTGCAGGGCAAGTCTGTGATTTTGGTTAGTTACATTCAATTTACAGAGAATATAAGAAGCTCAATTCTGATATGATAAAGCTGATATTTAGATCCTTTTCTCAAGTCTATGTCAATTTATTAAACTCATAGGTGGGAAACCACAGCAACAAACTTCACCAAATCTAGTCCTACCTCAAGTGTCATGAGGATTAAGTAAGGAAGGTTCTTTTTTCTAAGATTTTATTCATTCATGAGAGATACATAGAGAGAGGCAGAGACACAGGCAGAGAAAGAAGCAGGTCCCCCACAGGGAGCCCAACGTAGGACTCGATCCCAGGACTCCAGGATCACTCCGAGCCTAAGGCAGATGCTCAACTGCTGAGCCACCCAGGTGTCCCAGTAAGGTGGGTTCTTAAATGTGTTTTGTACAGAGTAACAAGCTACCCAGATATTTACTCTTATTTATGGTTTCCTACCAGATCTAAAATCCTGAATACTTTGAGAGGTACTGCAGACAACAGCATCACTTTGATGCTGGTTGGTGAGTTACAATGCGGTATCAATAACGTTACTGATTTTAAATAAAGCAAGCAGAATGCTACCATGGATAACAGTGAAGTGGGAACCCAGAGGCTTGGATTCAAGATTCAGACATGTGGAACCCTGGACAAGTCTGAGCTTAAATGTTTTCATTTCTCAAACAAGTGACTCAATTTCAGACCTTTAAAGTTTCTTCTAACTCTAACATTCTAGAGATACTGATGGAATTGTTCATGAAGCTGACAGTGACTGATGTGATGGATAGGACAACATTCAAGTCTCATTATTCCCCGAAATGTTCTGGTTTCCTATTTGGTATCATCTACGGTTAGATAAGCCATTAAAGAAAATTTTCTTCTGACAATTGTTCTAAGGAAAACATCCCCAACTGGGCAAGTTAGGGAATAGTTTTAGCTTCAAGAAAGTTAAGAGATCAGTTATACCCAATGTTTTTTTCTCTTGTGCCTTTCAATTTCTGACCCTATCCTCACCAAAAGACCCTCCTATATGCGAATCAGGCAAGTGTTGAGCTTTTTCCATCTCAGCAAATTCAAAACATTATGTTTTGCAGAATGTGTCATTCCTACCCATTCTGCTTAACTCATAACCAGCCACAATTCTTCCAAATTTTGGAATCTAGGAAAACGGCATTTTAAGGAGGGTCACCAAAATAATGACAATAAAAAACAATACTAAATACTGTTGTATTAGTGTGGTCAGTCAGCACTCGACTACTTTGTGTTAAGATTGTTTGATCAATTAAGTACCTGAACTTCATTAGCAAAATGACTTCACTAACTTCTTACTAGAGCATGCATCCAGAAGTCTGGTTAAGACTGTGGATGCAGAAGGAACTGTGGTAGAAAGGCACCTGTCTAATTCATCTTTTATCCTTTGTAGCTAGCAAGAGAGTAAATGCTAATACATGCCTAATGTATGTATTCATGTAGTGAAGAAACTGAACAAATGATGAACTGTGGTACAGCAAGTAATCAGGCGAATACCAACATTATAAGGATTTTAGATTTTTTTTTAAATAAATTCAATTCAGTTAAAATAGTGTTACTTTTCCAGAATACAGAATCAAGTTCCAAGAACGTACTTTTAATAAAATAAGGCACGATGTTTAATAAGGCAAAATTCACACAGAGGGTTAATATAGCATCACATTTTGTGTGTCCTGTGGGGAAAATGGAGGTACAGAATTGAAGTAGCTTAAATATTTTTTTAGAGCATTTACCATCACAAAGTAACTTATAAATTTGATGCACTTAACTATATCTTGTCCTGAAAAGAAAATTTAATTGTTGAATCATGTTGCTGAATTACATTATGTTTTAAATATCTATATATCTATATGCTTATATAGATATCCCTAATTCATAAGATTTCAAATACATAAAACTAAGAGATCAGACAATGAAAAATAATTTGACTAAAGTAAAAGTACATATATTTTCAATATCCTCTGTTGACAAAGTCCCAAACTTTTCATAAAATGTTAAAATACTGGTAGCTTACAATATTCAATAATATTTTTGTTTCTCATGAATACAAGTGGGCTCAGAAATGCAACAAACACCAGTTGCAGGCACACAGGTCTCTCCATGATTGTACTGTACTGTTATTGTTGAAGTTAATATTCCTTCTCAATAACATATATTACATCACATTAATGACCACATAAATGCCGACTATTTAATAAAAGGATTCTCTTAAAACATCAGTTGTAAACAGAAGAATTAACCAGTTTAGTAATATTTTTGTAGTACCAGCAATACCACTTTCAGTCTCATCTCGGTTTCTTCTAACCACAAATTAGAATAAAAGTTTTTATCCAATTTATTCACAGCCAAAGAAAGTAAGTTCTGGTGAATGCACCTAATCCAACCATGGCTTCCTGGTACAATGGTATATAACTGTCATTAAACTAATAAATTTTAATATTTACTAGATTGAATACTATACCTTAGGATAAATTGAGACTGACAAATCTCAGATAAGTCTAGTAGCACCCAAATCAGTATTACCCTGTGAGTGTTCAATGTTTGTTGTTAGTGAACTATTATTTTCTATGTCAATTCTTAGCAAATATGAACCAAGGAACATAGAAAAAAATGGAGATATTTACATGAAAATTGTTAAAACATAGCCCCTTGCAACCCAGTGTTACAAAGAAACCACTCACAAAATATCCTAGGCCTCACAGTAATATATTTGCATAATGCTAGTAATACAAGGTTGGTTAGGAACTGCTGTCATCCTTTCGTGGTACCAGATAAATTTTCTTTATAAAATAATATAAAAAAGAATATACCTTTTCACTGATTTGATTTCAAGGGACTCTGATCCTTATGGCTTGACTTTCTCCATAGTATGCATAATTGAGATTCCCTCTCCAGAAGCCCTAGACTCAGACATTAAGCCCTGTTTTAGAGGAAGGAATCCCTCAGAGGTCACTTGCAGTCTTTCTCCCTCAAGTCAAATGCAAAGGCTCATTATTACCATCTCACAACTTACTAAATGACACAGTTCCCCAAACTTTTCTACAGTGGAGGATTTAAGGCACACACTTTCTTAGCACAAATGAAGACACTGCTGTCTTTAAAAAGGTCATGACTATAATGAAAATACAAAAGTGGATGCTATTAAATTCATCAAATTAATGTTATAAGAATATAGTACTTAATACAGAAACAGTGAGTCAAGTACTTTTCTATACAGAGGGATCAGAACTATGTATCACAGATCATGTTGCCTAAAAACATGCACATCACCCTTTATTACTAACACCCAACAAAACTTAAAAGCTATTTTGGACTAAATGAGGAGTAATATTTATACTAACTATAATAAAATCTCTACTTTGGATAAGAAGGGGGTTAAGTAAAAATTAGGTATTTCTAAATAAATGCAGCTTAACTAATTATATATACATTTTAAAACTGTTATTTTCCCTACAAAGGGTCTTTTTAGAACAACTTTTTAAGGTATAATACTGCTAAAATGCTTTAAAAGATCAAACTTTATTTGCACTAATTATTTGCTTAGTATTTTTTTTTTCTAGATAGTGACACAGTAAACATTAACCAGGGCCGTACCACAAAGTCTAGGTTAATGAAGTATTACCTTCTCCCTTTGGAAGGAGCAAGGTTGGCTGTAAGACAGTCCTTTTTTTTTTCTTTTTTTTTTTAAAGATTTTATTTATTCGAGAGAGAGGAGAGAGAGAGATGAAGGCAGAGACATAGGCAGAGGGAGAAGCAGGCTCCACGCAGAAAACCTGATGTGGGACTTGATCCCAGGACTCCAGGATCACACCCTGAGCCGAAGGCAGATGCTTAACCGCTGAGCCACCCAGGCGTTCCAAGACAGTCCTATTTACTTGCTGGCCCATCATTAAGGAAGGATGTGGACAATCTCTCAATAGCAGAAACCAAAAAAATTTAGTGATAGAGGCTTTCAGATGGTAGTTAATAGGCCATGTGATTTTAAAACAATTCACTATTACTTTAAAGAACTTTCTTGGTTCAAGGAAATCCCTGGGAGTCTGGTGACTGAGAGAGAATCTCCCTGCCCTTTGGTACTTTTAAAAGATTTCTTTCATTTAATACTCCAGCAATCAGCCTTTTCCTTCTTCTCTTTTGCCTAAATTGATATTTACAGTGTTTGGTAGAAGTGGTCTGCAGCATTACACAGCACTAGGGTGGACTGCCTTTAACTTTTATTTACATCAATATAAAAATTTCTCGAATTTGAGGTACAGTTTACAATGCATCTTTACTTTTAAATTTGGTAACTTAAAGTTCTAAACAGTAAGAATTTCAGAATAAGAGACTTCTGTGGCACACATTTAGAAGTAAAATATGAACAGTAATTCTCAGATCTACCTCTGGTATTCAAATGCAAGGAATTCTAAGAACCTTACTAGCTTATCCTTGAGGGTCAGCCAATCTCTGGCACTATGGAAGCAAAATACTGTATTAGCTAATCTTCCTATTTCCTAAAATCCTAGGACTATGCAAACTGAGTTGGTGACACTGAGAATTGTATTCTAGGAATAAAGATTACTAAGAATGTTCAATGTACCCATTTCCATTTCAAATATTAACACTGAAGAATTCCATTCTAAACACATTAATGCTGTGGTTAAATAGTTTTATCCACAGAAGTTCTGGTCACTAAAATTATCCAACTGGAGCAATATCAAAAACTTATTTCATTATGATAATTAGTGCAGATCTGTAAGTCTCAAAAAATAATTAAAGTTTATTAATTAGTTTAACACAAACATGTGACTTAGCAACTAAAGAGACTGTGTATCATTTCAAATACACAGTCAGCTATATGGTTCAGGAGTTGACTATCTGGTTTCTAAATTATCAAGTCCCTTATATTTCATCCTCTGGCTAATTTCTATAATCACCAGTTATAAAAAAGAGAAGGTAGAAAAGAGAAACAGGGAAAATCTTAGAAATTATTAGCAGCTCTTATAAAAGGTTAGGTCAAAGATTAAAAAAAAAAAAGAACTAAATTGAAATGCAGATTTCAGTAAAAGTTACTAAAGACAATTGCACACTGATCTTAGACTTTCAAATGTACATGTACAACAAACATTTTGTCGTACATTATGGCATACATCTGCATATATAGCAAAGGCTAGAAATTATTTCTGGTTGGATCTATTTACATCTATAAAAGATCAATCAGTAAACCTTTCTGGAAAACTGGAATTGTACTTACATACCTACCCATTTATTTTACAAAGACTAACTCTTGGAAGGCTACCCAAGCTGTTACTTAGGTCAAGCTGGTAATGGATTAGGAAGTAAACTGAGGCATTTAAGTCAGAAGAATTTGGTCCTATCACTTTGGATATTTTACTATGAATACATTATTTTCTATGAAAATATTTTATGTATTGGTATTAACTAAATCAGTTACAAAACATCTTGGGCTTGTCACTTAGGCACTGCCTAAGTCATCTTTACTTTTCATAATTTTGTAGTATGAGCCATAGCTTGCCGTGGCTCAAGTGGAGAAGTAAACAAAGCCTTTACATTATTTCCATTTTATGATATAATCACCCATGTACTACTTGGCTAGGTAGCAGAAACATAATAGATTACTTCTATAGACCTAGAAAATTTCTGAATCAAAAGGAAAAAAATATTATTACATCATAACAAAGTGAAGGGATTCACTCTATAGCAGCGTTTCACAACTGCAGTCATGAAACTCTCATGTTTCATGAATAACACATAATAAACTTTGAACTATCCTACAGTATATTTTCTTCTAAAACAAAAAAATATGACAAAAACCTAACATATGTACATATTATTATTATACAACAATCTGCTTTTAAGAAATAGTGTGCCCCAGTTGTGAATGCCAGGAAGTCAGAAGGGAGATCCTCTGATGTTTTAATGTGTTTTTGACCGGCGTATTACTGTATAGGTAACATTTACCAATAAAACATCATTTTATTATTGGATATCTAATAACTCCTACTATGTGTTGTTTATTTTATAATATCAACTTCTAATTGTACTATTATTCAATACTTATTACAAATCAAACTAGTTAATAAAAATTTGGTCATTTCTAATAGCAATTAATTTGTGAAATATTTTTCTGCTACACTTTAGGGATATAGTTAAATTTCTTATGTTATCAATACATTACTTTCAAAAAGTATTACATGATTAATCTAGTTTTGGAAATTATCCTCTTTCACACAATTTAAAGACTGCTTTAAAGTCTTTACACAAATGACTGCTGCCCACAATTTTACTTGGCTTGCTGTAACGGTTTTCTAGTTTTTCTTTAAAATGTAGAGAAAGTTACAGTTCAGAAAACACAGGCAAAGGAGTCAGGTATGACTTAAAAATTTTAAACTCATTTTCTTACTCCTTTAATGCAAGATACAAAGAAGCTTTCCAAGCATACATCTCTTTTGTTAGAAGAAATCTGACAGATTCTTAAATCAAAAGCTATCACTCTGTCTTATGATGAAAAGTTTAATCAAGACACTACTTCCCATTAGTGTAAAAGTTATTTCCTTACAAGGGATTACTTCGTATTTAAACAAAAAACACAAGTTAAGGTGGCCATGAGCTCTGATGTTAGATATACAGCTGTTTATCTAGTTCTGTTAAAGCATATTTTTTTTATTTTTTTTTTATTTATTTATGATAGTTACACAGAGAGAGAGAGAGAGAGAGGCAGAGACACAGGCAGAGGGAGAAGCAGGCTCCATGCACCGGGAGCCTGACATGGGATTCGATCCCGGGTCTCCAGGATCGCGCCCTGGGCCAAAGGCAGGCGCTAAACCACTGCGCCACCCAGGGATCCCTGTTAAAGCATATTTTAAAGTGTCCTGCATAGTATGTCAGGTTATATAGGCTGCTCTGGCATCATTCCTTGAATAAATTTCTAAAACCTTGCTTGGATTAAGGCACTCTAAAAGTCATTGCTGGATTACAGAAGGGCAACAACAATCATAGAGAACAAAAGAGCACTACTGAAGAGTTTTAAAATCCCACATAAAAATTATATCCCTCACTTTACCAGTTAGGTCAGAAAGGGTTAGATCCTATGTAATATCTGTGAGCTTATCTGAATAGCTCTAATCTAGACATGTGGGCAATATAAGAAGGGAAGGTTAATCCTGTTATAGTCTTCAGTCTAAACGCAAGGACAACTCTGATAATAATTACAGCTCTAATCATTTCTTTCTTCATCTCCACTGTCACAAGTTACACCACTCATGGTTTATTGTAGCACTGCTCTACAGAATGCTCCATTATGCTGTGTGATTCATGCAAAACTTGAGTGAAAACTGCAAACAATCAGCTAAACTTGAAACCACTATTCAGAGTGAATTATATTCAAAGAATCCAAACATGGAACTGGACTCATTCCTGTTGAATGCGAAGATGAAATACAAAATCGTTTCCATCATCTCTAGCTCTCTCATGGAGATTCAAGATGAAGATATGGTTTCTAGTAAACTTTGAAGTCCATCTTTTTTTCTAATCACCTTTGCTCAGTTCTTTTAATTGTTTCATACCACCCTGCATTCTTTTCAACCAAGAAGAACTTTCTGCATTCTGTGTGCAGCAACACTAGCTTCGTCCTCTGAGTCAGATTCGCTCTGCGATGTGGAGCTGTGAGAGGCGGAACTGCAAGGGGAAGAGCATTCTGGAGAACATAAGTAGTGCATCAGTGGGAGGCGGTACTTCCCACAGAAGTCCACAAACTTAATTTGTCTGACACAGCAGTCAAAGTAGACTCCTGGAGAAAAGAAGGAATTAAGTACAAAATAATTATTACAAAGCAAAGAGCCATTTCTTTTTCAACTCTTTCTCCAGCATTCTAAAGAAAAGTCATATACAGTCTTCTTTTTTGTGAATTATAAGCAGAAGCAGTAGTTACTTCTATAGCTGTTTATAGAAATACCAAAGGTCTTAGGGATGGCAATCTGGCTACAAAGAGAAGGCCAGATAAGATTTATCTTAAAGGGAGCTGGCATTAAAAGGATACTGTTTACTTAGCTTGTTTTCTCTGGATGGCTTGGTGGACAGTGGCTGATTATAGGATACCTAAACATGTTCTTCTTCCATACCCAAGCCACTCCTGGATACTACCCTACAGTCAAGAAATTAGGGAAAAAAAAAAAAAAAACCCACAAGGGGTGCCTGGGTGGCTCAGTTGGTTAAGCGTCTGCCTTTGGCTCAGGTCATGACCCCAGGGGAGTCTGCTTATCCCTCTCCTTTTGCACCTCCGCCCGGCTAGTGCTCTCATGCTCTCTCTCTCAAATAAATAAATAAAATATTTTTAAAAACCCCACAAAACTCCTTTAATAATGATCTTACAAGATTAGTTGTCATACACAAAATTTGCAGAAAGGAGATGAGTTCTAGTACTCCTATGTATTGGGAAGGCAAGATTCAAAGAAACAAAATACCATCTTATATTTCCACAGGTTCTAAACCTACAGGTTTCAAAGTTGTTTTACTAATGATCTCACTTGATTCTCACACAATTATACACTGTTAGGTAGACTGAAACAGTATTTACCTTTTTTGATTTCTAATTTACTGCTCCTGAGCTGAGGCCCTTCGGCTAAGTAAAAATACAGCTGGAGCTGAGAGGAAAGCAGAGGTCATTGTGGCTCAGGGTTCAGTATAACCGGAGCATCTACAAGTCTGGGTCCTATCACCTTTCTGCAGAGCAATCTCAACTTTCTATACGCTAAGATTCCTCTGGCACCAACTACTCTGTATTACATAAGGGTCTAAACTAAAAAGATATGCTTCAAGCAAAGGAGAAACATGATTTCTATTTATCTTTTTCCTAATACTTCCCTCATTAACTTTCTAATTTTCTGATCCTGTAGTCAGTATAATCCATAGTTTTAAAAGGGGATTTCATGGTATGTTATTTTGAACAATTTAGGAAAGTATATATATGCAATAAACTGATCAATCAATATTGATGGTAAATCCCCCCTAATGTGTTAACATTCTAAAAAAAGATGGCGTAATAAAGTATTATAGAGTTACCATGAGAAAAAAACGATACAATACTGTCTTGTCATTTCTAGGATCTCAGACTCTACAAAGGCAAAAAAAAATCTCTGAATATAAATGTGCTTTTGTTGGGGCACCTGTGTGGCTTAGTTGGTTAAGACTGACTCTGATGATGGCTCAGATCATGATCTCATGGTCGTGAGATCCAGCTCCCCCTGCCCTCACCCTCTGTGTTCGGGGTGGGGCAGGGAGTCTGCTTAAAGATTCTCTCCCTCTGCACCTCCCCCAACCCCAACACAACTCAAGAATGTGTGTCCTCTCGATCTAAAATCAATAAATAAATCTTTAAAAAAAGTTTAGTTTTATTTAACTTAGTGTTTAATAGCTAATGAGTCTGAGGTGGAAAACATTACTGGTTTAATTTTTGTATAATCTTGCTTTTTAAACTAAAAATTTTTATTTTTAAAAAATATTTTATTTATTTATTCATGAGAGACACATAGAGAGACAAAGAGACACAGGCAGAGGGAGAAGCAGGTTCCCCTGCAGGGAGCCTGATGCGGAACTCGATCCTAGGACCCCAGGATCACGACCTGAGTCGAAGGCAGATGCTCAACCATTGAGCCATCCAGGTGTCCCTAAACTAATAATTTTTAAAGTATACTTATCTCTAAGATAAATGACGTATTAGTACACTAAAAAAAGTCATTAAGAAAAGCATTTTAAAAAGAAAAGATAATTCTTGTAGAGGTCCATTTTTAGAAAAGAATAGATTCAAAGAGGAGATCAGACATAGATTATTAAGCCATAAGGTATGGTATGAATGCTGTCTCCCATCTATGTTAAAGTCAGCTTGGGAAAGGAGAGTCACAGTGAAGAGCTTAAGCACTTCTAATCTGACACAGCACAGCACCTTCTATTTCTAAGAGTGAGTAGCCAGAAATGGCCCAGAGTATCATCTTTTTTAAACCAAGTGTCTTTTCTATTTTTTAACATTCTTTGAGAAATTTAAATCATTTTCTCTTTTAACCTTCAATTTCAAGGCACGATGGGACTTTCAGGGAAAATCTTATCTGGTTCTGATCATCATTATGCAGAATTTCCCCCGCAACTACATTTCTGCTATTACAGTAAAAACCTTTCTGTACCCCTATTAGGTTGGATTTTTAAAAAGTAGTCATTTATGAGAGAGATAAAATAAAACGACCTGCTATCAATCACCAGCTCCCACCCACACATCCTGGCACTTCAGGCCTTCATAACTGGGCCTCAATGTATCCTTTATTCCTCTCATATACTTCCCTCACTGTACATTTGAGCCACATTATTTAACTCCTCTGATACTGTACCCCATCTAGTATTGTGTCTAATTTTGCTCTCTCCAACTGAAAAGTTTCCTATCCTAAATCTTACTTACCATATCAAAATCCAACTCAGACTTCAAGAAATCAGCTCATTTTTCCAGATCTAATCAAATGTACTCTCTCCCTCCTTTGATTTCCAAGAGTACTCTGAATTCTTACTTTACTCTGCCCTACAGTCTACCCTTTCTTTAATCCTAGAGATGCTCTAAACTCAATAAATTTTGAATCATGGATTTACAAGAATATAAAAGTCTAGAGTACACTCCAAAATTGATACATTCAGCCTATTCTCCTATATCCTGAATCATACTCTATAAAGGTACCTGATACTTAGAACAAACAGTGGGTCTAGGAGAATGTCCTACAAATAAATATGAAAGGTGGCCAAACATTTTGGAAACTCTTTTTAAACTGTTAGGACTATTTATGCTTCCTTTGTGTTCCCTCTAATTTTACCACCTTATTCTACTATCTTATGACAGTTCCAAGACATGAGGAGACTTTCTGGTTATTTTCCTTCTGTATGAATTGTAAAGTACTAAAACAAAACAAAACAAAACAAAAAAAAACGGAGGAGAAAGGAAGAGAGAAGAGGGAGAAATATCTTACTTTTCTGATAAAAGGATGAAAGGATAAGGGAAACAGAGACTAAAAAAGCCATCTCTGAAAGATGACTAATTAGATGACTAATTAAAAATTTAGATCATCAATATAAAAAATAGCTAAATGAGGGCAGCCCTGGTGGCTCAGCGGTTTAGCATGGCCTTTGACCCAGGGTGTGATCCTGGAGACCCAGGATCGAGTCCCATGTCGGGCTCCCTGCATGAAGCCTGCTTCTCACTCTGCCTGGGTCTTTGCTTCTCTCTGTGTGTCTCTAATAAATAAATAAAAAGTCTTTAAAAAAATAGCTAAACGAATAGGAAACATATACAATGAATTAACTTACCTCCACACTTTGGGTTTGGGCAATTGCTGGCTAAACTCAAGTATCTAAGAAGATTCCCAGGAAGATCGTAGGGAGTGTAGGAAATATTTCGAATTTTAATGGTCCGTGCAGCTAATTCCAGGAGAGTTGGAGGGTCATAGGTTAAATCTCTAACAAAACGAACAACCAATGGATTTCCTCGCAAACTCAATTCTTCCAAATGAACAAGGTTGAGAATCTCTCGAGGCAGGTATGTCAGCAAGTTATTGTGAAGACTGAGAGAACGAAGCGAATGCAATCTACAATGAATGCAGTACAAAAATCAATGGCAGCGAGCAAGCTAACTACCAAGAAAGTTAAGTGAAGAACTTGATTTCCCTTGAGGATGAGCAATTAAGGTCAACAGAAGTAAAATAAAAAGGAGCTGAAACTAGACCAAGTGCAGACTTGTAAATATCATGAACTGACATTTGCCCATAGAATCCTAGAGAGTCTAGAATAATTATTAGTATTCTGATGTGCTAAGCTGATATGAATGCTAGATTTAAAGGTTTTTTTTTTAGCATGCTTTATCATTCAGATACCTATAAGAAGAAAGATTTAAAATTCAACAGAAATCAAGATCCTTCACATTATTTCATCAGGATAGGAATGTTTCATATTAAAAATAAAATTAGTAAAATACCATAAAACCTGGGAAAATCTATACCAAATTACTCTATTTTTGATTAGAGAAAACAGGCTAAACAAATATGTTGAGAAGTAAACCAGGGCATTTAAAAGTAATGTTAAAAATAAGCAATTCAACTCACAGCAAACCTTAGAACTGTAATTCTCATGGATCATTTACCTTGAGAATGCCTAATTCTCTTCTACATATAAAACACATGGAATGAATGCAAGGCAAAAATTCCTAAGCAAGGATCTCTGTGTATACTTAGACTGCCTGAAACTACTCACTGTGAAAGCTGAGGAGGCACACTTTGGATTTTGTTGTCACATAATACCAAGTAACTTAGAGAAGGCAGATTTGCTAATTCTGGTGGAATTTCTTTGATGAAGTTTCCTCCGAGATATAAACACTCTAAACTGTAAAAATAAATGAACAAAAACAAAAATGTAAACAAACAAAAGTCAGACAAGACATCCCAAGGTCTTTATTACAACAAACAGATTTCATTTATTCATTCAGCAAATATTTTACTTCGAATCTGCTATATGCTATATAGGCACTAGAGAAATATGCAATCTTCAGAGAGCTTATATTACGGGTAAGCAGGTAAGACCAACATTGTTAGACAACATTATAACTAAACACAAAACAAGGCCAAAAGTAAGTATACTATGATTAAAATATTAAAATAAGCAGAGCAATCCATAAATGATAGAGTTAAGTAGAGAAGTAAGAAAAGGACACAGTACTTGAGACTGGGAAGGCTTTGCAAAAGTGTTGTTACTTCAGCGGGACCATGAATTTATGAGCTCATGCAGATGGGAGGAAACAAGACACTTCAGAGGTTGGAGGGGACGGCTTTTATGGGACAATGGACAGATCTTTTAACACAGAAGAGTAGAGTTCCTGTTGAAGAACCCAGAGAAAAGGCTGAAGGAAAGCCAGATTATATGAAGCCTGAATTCTGTGCTGATAGGCATGGCTTTGATGTACTATGAGGCAATGGGACAACCACTAACTAACCTTTTTCTGAAAAGAGTGGAAAAACATGGCTGAACTCAACATTTCTTCTTTGTTCTTACTGTAGCAAATGCATTCTTCAAGAGCCAGCTAAATAAATTATGTAAAATTGACCACTATCATGAAACTAAAGCTTCAGATAGTTACCTTACTTTCCACCAAATTAACAACATTTTAGACATAGCATACATTGCACCAAGATGTACTGTTACTTTTTGTGGTGATGACTGTAGAAAGGCTCTCTCCAAGATGTTTTTGCAGGGAGTGGCAGAATCAGTTCTTACAACATATGTAATTTTTAAATATATATAAGTATTGCTAAAACATATACATACAGAAAAGAAAGAAAAAAAGAAAATGTATACATACAGATCTTTTCCATTACTATATTACTTTTGTCTTCCTGCTAAATCCGCTAACTCAACAGACGCTAGGATTCTTTTAAGACACCTTTGAATGTGGCAGAAAATAGCCTACTAAACTAATACCAAAACTCCCAGGGTAAGGATTACCTGGGATACTTTTAAAGCTATGAATTCCAGGCCCCATCCAGATTCACCACATCAGAGCTCTAGGGGAAGATTTTAGGATGTAAGGTTAAAAAAATAGGATAATGTTAAAAGGTAAAGCCACATTACTCTCTGCAGAGCTACAGCTAATTACAAATCCACAATTAGCAAATTAAGAGTACTTCTTACCATATAACCCTGCCAACACTATCATTTGCTTAATTTATTATTTTTATTACTTTTACTATTTGTGTGAAAAATGGTACCATTCTGTTCTTTTAATCTGCAGTTCTCTAGTTATTAGTGAATTAATTAGAAAAAACAAGTGTTTTTGTCCACTTGTATATCTTTAGAGAATTGCCTCTTTCTATTCTTTATCCATTTTTCTCACAGGTTACATGGTTTTGTCTTATTAATTTGTTGGGAGCTTTGTTGTTAAATATATGTTCTGCATAATCTTGCTTCTCTGCGGCCTAGGGAATGGTCTAGTTTTTGTTCACATTTTGCATGTGTAAAATGAATGTGGAGCTACTAGGATGAAACTTATTAACTGTGCAATTCAAAATTTGTATAGCATTACTTATTATTTTGTCTTGCTCTTGTGGTTAGTCTTCCACCAGAACCAGAGTTTTCCTTCCTCCTTTCATAATTACCAAGTTTTGCTCTTTCCCCTGAAAATACAGAAGCAGATAAATCCTTGAACTGTTCCTTGATTCACATGAAGCATTTCTCTTTTTCCCTTTTAATTTATTTTCCCTTAAAACCTATTTCTTTTAACTATCAATCTTGCCTCCTGGTTTTATTTTTGTTCGTATTTATTTCATTTAATCCACCATTCATCAGTATATGTACTTAGGCCGGTATTCTTGTTACACCCTAGTTCCTTCTCCTTCAAAATGAAATAATATTAAATATTAAAGTGCCTCATTAACAAATATGAACTAGGCACCTACCATGTGCCAGGCACCAATCCAGGGACACACTATAAATAAGACCAAGTTCTTGACCTTACAATCTAGTGAGACAGACAATAAATCAGTGAATGTGTATGTATTATATCAGATAGCTTTAAAAGTTACCTCTATAAAAGGGGTGGTAATCAGATGGTGATGGAAGTGAAATTGTAGACAGGGTGGTCAGAAAAAGTTCTCTTAGATGACATGTGAACAGAGATATGAATGAAATGAATGAGTAGAAAATGCTTGGTGTGTTGTCAGCTGTAGGTACATCAGAATGGTAGAGGTGAGGGAGATGTGATCAGAGATGTAGCAGGGGAAGGCCAGATCACAGAGGGCCTTAATTAGAATTTTTTTTAAGCCAATTGACTTTCTTTTTTTAAAAAAATATTTATTTATTCATGAGAGACACAGAGAGAGAGAGAGAGACAGAGACACAGGCAGAGGGAGTGGGAGAAGCAGGCTCCACGCAGGGAGCCTGGTGTGGGACTTTATCTCGGGTCTCCAGGATCAGGCCCTGGGCTGAAAGCGGTGCTAAACTGCTGAGCCACCCGGGCTGCCCTTTAATTAGAATTTTGAATTTTACCCTAAGTAGGAAGGATTTCGAACAAAGTTGTGTAACTTGACTTATACTTTAGAAAGATCACTGTTGCTGCTGTATGTAAAGTAGCTTGGTAAGTGGTGGGAAGAGGAGTAAGGTAAGAGGAGTGGAAGTAGGATGACCAGACTGGAGCCTAATGCAGTAGGGCAGATGTGAAATGGTAGAGGTTTGCTTGGTACATATCTTTTTTTTTATCCCATTGCTTTTAACTTATTGGGGTATTTCTATTTTAAGTGTAACTTTTTTTAAAAAATATTTTATTTATTTGAGAAAGAATGAGAGATCACAGAAGGAAAGGAAGAAGCAGGGATCCCTGGGTGGCGCAGCAGTTTGGCGCCTGCCTTTGGTCCAGGGCGCGATCCTGGAGACCCGGGATCGAATCCCACGTTGGGCTCCTGGTGCATGGAGCCTCCTTCTCCCTCTGCCTATGTCTTTGCCTCTCTCTCTCTCTCTCTCTCTCTCTCTCTGTGTGACTATCATAAAAAAAAATTAAAAAAAGGAAAGGAAGAAGCAGACTCCTTGCTGAGCAGACAGCCAGATGCAGGGCTTGATCCCAGGACCCCAGGATCAGGACCTGAGTCAAAGGCAGGTGCTTAACCAACTGAGCCACCCACACACCCTTAAGTATAACTCTTATAAGCAGTATGCAACTTGATTTTGATAAGTTTAGACTTGTGTTTTCTATTACCATGGTATATCTCAATGTCTTTTTTCTCTTCTCTTCTTCTGTTTCATTCAAGTTTCCTTTCTTCTCATTCCCCCTCTACTATTTTGAACTGTAGGTGCTATTTTTACCTTGCTAGTAGTTACCCCAATTTCCTTTGCTCTCCCTCACTCCTAAACACACATCCATGCCTTCTGTCCTTCTCTCTGTATCATTTAGAATTAGTTTTATCTTGATCTGAAAATAAATTTAAATTTATTTATGATTAATAATTATTCAGATTTATCAATATGTTTTACTAATTTCTTTGTTCACCATTGTTTTTGGAACTTGTTATTTCTTTTTCTTTATAATTCTGAATTTTATTAAAATGAGTTCTCATACCCAAAAATAGGTTGTTTTTAAGCTGTGGGCTACAAGCCTGGGCTAGTAAAGAGCTTGCTATTTCTTTTAAAGTCCATTTTTCTTGGAGTATATATTTAACAAGTTCTTTCAGCAAGGACCCACGGTTGTTAACCTTTGAGTCCTTTGTCTCCAATGTTTTTATCTCTTTCCTTCACAGCTGAGTAACAGTTTGGCTGAGCATAAAACTCTAGGTTGATGTTACTTTTCCTCAGCACTAGGAACTGTTCCATTATCCAGTACTGTTCCATTAATTTACAGCCAATATTACTTCTGTTCCTTTGTCGGTAATTTTTTTTTTATATTAGGAGCTGTTAGGGTCTTTTTTTCTCTATTGTCCTAAAGTTTTATTATGATGCTTCAGTTTAGCTATCAGTTTAGAGTAATCTTTCTTTAATTATGGGAAATTCTCAGCTACTATTACATCAAACACAGCTTTTCCTACATTTTTTCTATTCTCTTTCTAGAATTCTTACTAAGCAGCAGTTTGAATTTTAGGATCAATTTTACATGAAACATTTCTTTCATATTTTCCATTTCTTTATCTTTCTATGCTGCATTCCAGAAGAATGCCCCAGTAAGATCTTTTAGCTTATGATTCATTTATCAGCTAACTTCAGTCTACTAGTCAACACACTGAGTTCATAATTACATTTTTTATTTCTAGGAATTCTAACTGGGGTTTTCATAAACTGTAAATTTTTAAACTTATTTTTGTTTCATTGATGAAGTTCCTGCCTTTACCTCTCTGAAGTTAGAAAACACACCTACTTTAAAGTCCTTTCCAGAGTTCCTTATTATATAAATTTTTTCAGGTACAATTTTTCATTTGTTGAATTTCTATTTGTATTTCATAATCTCAGACATCCCTGTTATGTAGTGACTTAGAAAGCTAACCTGAATCTGAAGTTTTGTCATTTTAAAAATATACTGATACTTTTTTCCTGACTATGCAAATCTTTCCAAGGTTGCATTTCACTCTCTTGAACTATAATGCTTAGTAAAAGTAAGCAGACAACTTTAATTCTGATGTTATATTTTTCTCTTTCAAAGATTACCTAGTAGCAAAAATCAACTGTTTGGATAGGAGAGTGAATTCTCTCTCCTGCACAGAAGTGTCTAAGCACTGGTTTAAATTGGGGGGGGGGGGGGGAGGAGATTCCTGGGCAGGAATTTTTGATCCTACCAAATATGGTTAATGCTTGGTTACTCAGAAATCTTTCTTTTTCAATGAGGGAAGCTACTAGAATAGAACAGAACAAAACAGAATAGAATAGAATTGAACATTTGGAATCCAAATCACAGAAATTATCCTGGAAAAGGAACTATTTTAATGAGAAGGCTATCTGGGGGAAAATTTAACAATCCTGGGAGTCCTTTTATAAAGATTTAAAAAGTTAAAAAACAATTTGCAACATAGTCTAATGATGGAGAAAAGAAAATAAGGTGAAGGGAAGCAAATGCAAATATTGTCCTTTCTACTTAAGGCCAAGAACTAAGAGAAATTAGTGTCTCATTCATTGTCAGCTCTGATGCAATGTCTCCTTCTATCAATGCTTTGGAGTATATACAGACAGAAGGGATGCCAAACCTTAGTAGTAACTGTGACTTTATCAGAGTTATGTGATGTCCTAAAATATAACAAAGTCTGCTATTTCAAAATCATATAAATTCTCTGAGGGTATCATTAATCATAGTACACAACCAGCGTATTAAATTTACACTTTCAGGCTTATTTCTCACTTCAAAACTCAATTTCCAAAGTTCTAGGGACTTAAAGCCTTTCAATGATTTGGGGGAATTAAATTTCTAAAACATACTCTACTTTTTCCAAACATGCTTTTGAAAGGAGAAAACAAACTACTATTGAATTTGAAGCAAAACTGTAGTGTTTAAAAGTTCCTGTGATGTGTATTTGTCAACACTGCACTTCTGTTCATCTGGCTTAGAACAATTCTATTTTTTAGTGTTTGATGAATATTGAAAAAACCCATTCATAGAATTTATAGAATTCTTCTTTTCCTTTCTGTTTAGCATTAACAGACCAACCTTAAATTTGCTTCTTGGAAAGTATCCCTAGGGATTTAAGTAGGTGTGACTTTTCTGTAGCAAGGGCCAATGACCCACTGAAAAAAATAGAGGCCCTTAGTGCCAATAACTTTAAAGACAGATATAAGTAGAAAATGTTTTGCTCCTCCACCCAATAAAAATGACATTAAGAATAACAAAATATAAATTAGTCCTACATTACGGTTGGTTAAAGGGAGATGGAATTAGTTAGACAGCTCTGTACAAAAAGGCAGGAAACAGGAAGAGATATACAGAAAGACAAGAACCATACATTTGTGGATAAAGGAAGTACTTTTCTTGAGGTAGCGTCCCCAGATCAAATCATTTTCCTTTTTTTTTTTAAAGGAAATAATTAGTTCTTAGCTCTTATGTTGTTTTTTTTTTAATTTTTTTATTTATTTATGATAGTCACAGAGAGAGAAAGAGAGAGAGGCAGAGACACAGGCAGAGGGAGAAGCAGGCTCCATGCACTGGGAGCCCGACATGGGATTTGATCCCGGGTCTCCAGGATCATGCCCTGGGCCAAAGGCAGGCGCCAAACCGCTGCGCCACCCAGGGATCCCAGATCAAATCATTTTCAAATACTATCTCTCACCAAAAGCTTTTAAAGAACATGAACCACATGAATCTCATTGCCACTATCTGGCTTCAAGCAAGTGACTGATACTAAATCTCAGTGTCCTCATCTGTTAAAAAAAGGGGGAGGAGGTGAAATCAGGCCACTGCCCAGGTTGTTTATACTTCTAAGACTGTATTTTTATATGACCCTTTTAGCTTACATTCAACTAGAATTTAAATTTGGAGCATGGCCTAAACCTGTACTGATTCTTACTAGTAAAGAAAAATGGAGCATAAAACCGAAAAATGAAAACGCTGACAAAAAAGATCCCACGTACAATTGGAGCCAAAGGTACAATGACCAAAAAGCATAGTTTATTAGCCTAGAAAATCAGGTCAACCAGGTAACAGCTTTGACTAATCCTCCTGATCACATATGCAACAGAAGTCAGAAGGATTAGGTTCTAGCCCTATTCTATCACAGTGGAAAATTCTTGGGTTTGAAGTCAGAGACCCCAGAGGTCAAATCCAGTTCCACCACTCAATGGCTTTAGTATCTTATAACTTAACCTCTCATTTCTCTCATCTCACAGAAACACTGTGAGAATTAAAAAGCTGTATACAGAGCCTCTACTATAGGGCCTACAGTATTTTAAGTATTCAATAAATACGATTTTGCCTACCTTTCCCCCCATGTGATGGAAATAACTGTTCTAGGTCCTTCTCAGTATATTAAGACTCAAATGAGAAAGCTGGAATTATGTAACTTTAAAATTAGAACCAAGGACTGGACTGTCAATTTTCTGTTTTTGTTTTTTTTTTTTTAAGATTTTATTTATTTATTAGAGAGACACAGAGAGAGAAAGGCAGAGACACAGACAGAGGGAGAAGCAGGCTCCATGCAGGGAGCCTGATGTGGGACTCGATCCCGGGTCTCCAGGATCATGCCCTGGGCTGAAGACGGTACTAAACCGCTGAGCCACCGGGGCTGCCCTCAATTTTATGTCTAAATCTCTTTCCAACTTTTCTATTTCTTAATATCTCTCCTACCACCACCCAGATATAAGCGACCGTCATCTTTCATTCTAGAATTACCTCCTTCTAATGAGCCCTCAAAATCTCTTCTCATCTCTTCACCCTCTCCCCACTCCATTGCTGTGCAACAAGACAGATGTGCTTAAAACTCTCCCGTGTGTACCTAGAATGAAATCCACACTTTACCATGGCCTTCAAGATCTGCCATGGCCTGGGACTGCTCCACGTTTTTATGTGCCAACTTTCCCTCTTGGCCACTTTCTCACTATGCTCTAGTACAATGTCCTCCTTTCAAAATGTTGGCCTTCGGTCCCTCTTGCCTTCCGGCTTTTATATGCCCTGTTCCTTTTACCTAGACTGATTCCACCCCACCTTCTCCTTGTTAATTCTTATTCTTCCTTCAAAATTCTCAATTCTCCATTCAAATGTTATTTGCTCAAGGACCAAACTAAGTCAGGCCCCTCTGTTATTTCAAGGCATTCCATTTGTCTTCAAAGAACTTATAAAAACTGTAATTAAATAATGAGGTTTTGGGGCGGCCCGGGTGGCTCAGTGGTTTAGCACCGCCTTTGGCCCAGGGCCTGATCCTGGAGACCCGGGATCGAGTCCCACGTCGGGCTTCCTGCATGGAGCCTGCTTCTCCCTCGGCCTGTGTCTCTGCCTCTCTCTCATGAATAAATAAAATCTTAAAAAAAAATACTACTGAGGTTTTATAACTAGTTATTTAATGTCTAGCATGTTAGTTCCATGAGAACTGGACCATATCACTGCTGTATCCCCAGTACCTAGGACAGTGACTGACACATGGTAAGTACTTCATAAATATTTGCTGATGAGTCAACGAAGGGACATCTTGTCCAAATGCCTCATTTTGCAAGATTAGGTCGCTGTGGTCAGGATATGTTAAGCGACTCGCCTAAGGCTGGGACACCAAGAGTTCTTATTCTCAGGCCGCCATTCTTTTCACTAGATTTACCTCTTTCTAGCTCAGAAAACTCAATAAAGGATGATGTGAAAACTGCAGATGACAAATATTTTTTCCCCCACTTTGGACAATACATTTGCTCTGTTTCTCACATCCCTGCGGAGCACTTTTTAAAGCACTTTTAGGAGAGTCTGGCTATCCTGCTTCTCTGCTTCCCCCTTCCATTTAATTCAACATATATTTACCGAAAAATCCCGTGGGTGAGGCAGACCTCTGAACAAGAAATTATAATCAATAAGGTAAATGCAACGGCAGGATGGATGAGGTACACAGGGAAGCAAGAGTTCCGGCAGGAACTGTCCGGGAGCCGGTAAAGGAAGGAAACAGGCAACCCTGGAGATGGCTTCTGGAGGATGAACAGGAGTTTGCCAGGGGCAGGCAGCCTTCCAGGCAAAGGGGACGGACTGCATCCATTCACCACGTATTTCCTAAGTGCCCATAAGGTGCCGGTAAACTGCAGGGCTCTCCGCATTTCACAAACCGTCGTTGCTACTAGTGCTACAGAGAGAGGGCAGAGTGGAAAGCCAGGGTCTGGTCAGACTACCTTGTTTGTCAGACACGGACAACCATCGAAGGCGTCAGGGCAAGGACGTGACCACCTCAGATTCACGTTTGAGTCCCTCCTTCTCCCTTCCCGGGACCCAAGAAGACAAAAAAAAAAAAAAAAAAAATTCCCAAACCCTCCTCGCAAATCTGCTTAGGGCACAACCGCAAAGGCTGCCAGTCTCGCGGGCTTCCCGGGCCTTCCCTTACAGCTCGCCGCGGTGGCCGGGCAGCGCTCCCGGCCAGAGTCACGGAGCGAGCCTGCGAGACCATCGGTTACGTGACCAAGGAACCGCGCCCAGAGCGGGCCTAGCGCTCCGGGGCTCCGAGGCCCCGGGACACCGCCCCCGGCTTCCCTACCCTGGGGCGGGGGGGCAGGGCCCCGCTCACCTCCGCAAGTTCTCGATCTCGGCCGGGATGCTCTGCAGCTGGTTGCCCCCCAGGCTGAGGGTCTGCAGCGCGCGCAGCTGCAGCAACGACGCGGGCACCTCCTGGAAGCAGTTGCCGCTGAGGTTGAGCACCTGGAGGCTGCGGCAGAGCGGCGACCGGGCCAGGCCCTTGGGCAGCGCGCCGGGCCCGCCGAGCCGGTTGTTCTTGGCCAGCAGCGTGCGCAGGCCGCTGAGCGCGAGCAGCTCCGGCCCGAGCGCGGTCAACGCGTTGCCGCTCACGTCCAGCAGCTGGAGGTGCGGGAAGCCGCTGCCCAGCGCCCGCGGCAGCGACGCCAGACGGCTGTGAGGCAGCAGCAGCCGCAGCAGCGCCTCGCGGGCCCCGCGCCGCTCCTCGCCCCGCGCCTCCAGCTCCGACTCCAGCGTCTCCGGGGACAACGTGAGGCGGGACAAGTTCAGTTCGGCCTCCCCCGCTCCGGCCTCCTCCATTCCCGCCGCCGCGGGCCGCGCGGCCCCCCCGGAACCGGAGGGCGCGGCGCGCGGTCCACAGGCCGGGAGCTGCCCGGCGCCCCGGAACCTGAACAGGAGGCCGCGTCGGAAGTGGCGCGGGCGGGCGCTTACTCCCGCGCGGCCCCGGCGAATCACGCGACGCTGGGCCGCGGGGTGCGCGCGCGCGCGCGCGCGCGCGCTCGGGGGCCGGGCTGCGTCTCACGAGGCGCGCGGCGCGGGCGGCGGCCGAAGGGCGCTCTGAACCCGGGAGGGTTTGAACGGCCGCGACTTCTAGGCCGCGGGGTGCGTGGAACCGCCTGGGTCGACAGCCCCGGGATGTTTGCTTCCCGGCGCCGAGGGTCTGCGTCGTGGCGCACCGCCCTCTCGGATCCCGCTGTGGGAGTGGGGACCCCGGAAGTCGGGTGAGGCGGCTGCCTCACGGCTCGTCCCGGAGGCTGAAGGCGCGGGCGGGGTGCACCGAGCCGGCCCCAAGGTGCGCGCACAGCCGGACTGGAAACCGCAAGCCCCGGATCCGGCCTCGGGTTCTGCTGTCGGATTGGCCTTGTGTCCCTGGACGAGGAGTTTGCAGTTTGTCCATCCGTGGAGCGGGGCTAGGGCTTGCCGCGTTCGCCCTGCAGGGTTGAGTTATTTTTGAACATGAGGCAACAAGTAAGGTAGATGTCAAGTAAGGGCGTTTCTACATTTTCTTATTTATATATTTTTTTAAAGATTCTATTTAATTTATTTATTCATAGAGACACACACAGAGGGAGAGAGAGGCAGAGACACAGAGAGAGGGAGAAGCAGGCTCCATGCAGGAAGCCCGACGTGGGACTATTTTTTTATTATTTATTTATTGTTTCTACATTTTATTTTTTATTTTTATTTTATTTTTTTAAGATTTTATTTATTTATTCATAGAGACAGAGAGAGAGAGAGGCAGAGACACAGGCAGAGGGAGAAGCAGGCTCCCTGCAGGGAGCCCAACGTGGGACTATTTTTTTATTATTTATTTATTTATTTATTTTTGTTTCTACATTTTATTTTTTATTTTATTTTTATTTTATTTTTTTTAAGATTTTATTTATTTATTCATAGAGACACACACAGAGAGAGGCAGAGACACAGGCAGAGGGAGAAGCAGGCTCCATGCAGGGAGCCCGATGGGGGACTTTATTTATTTATTTATTTATTTATTTATTTATTTATTTATTTATTTATTTATTTATTTCGTTTCTACATTTTAGCTGTAGAAGCATATCTGTGGTTTTTTGGTTCCAGTCGCAGTGGCGAGAAATGAATTCGGGAACCATTGGAAGAGGTTCGTTGACCTGAGAGAGCTGAAATGGACTGATCGCTTTAAAAACTAAGCAGCGAGATTTATTTTTTTTTTAAGATTTTATTTGTTTATTCATTCATGAGAGACACTGAGAGGCAGAGGGAGAAGCAGGCTCCATGCAGGGAGCCCGACGTGGGACTGGATCCTGGGTCTTCAGGTCACGCCCTGGGCTGAAGGCTGCGCTAATCCGCAGAGCCATCCAGGCTGCCCTAAGCAGCAAGATTTTACCGCAGGTTGCAACTACGATTAACTGACTCGCTTTAATTTAGTACTTCTAATTCGCATAGTTACCCCAAGATCAGTCTTTTTCTTTTTCTTTTCTTTTTTTTATGATTTTATTTGTTTATCCGTGAGAAACACACACACACACACAGAGGCAGAGACACAGGCAGAGGGAGAAGCAGGCTCCATGCAGGGAGACCCACGTGGGACTCTATCTGGGGTCCCCAGGGTCACACCCTGAGCTGAAGGCAGACGTTTTAACCGTTGAGCCCCCCAGGCGTCCCCCAAACTCAGTCTTTTGTGAAATTACTTTTTATGATTTTGGAAAGTCATGAGTTGAAATGAAAAAAAAAAACATTTAGCAAATTTTTACAGACCTTATGCATGTTAGATGTTCAAAGATCACATATAATCAATGACATTAAGTTGCTTGCCTCCTAAAAGGAAGAATAAAGTAACTTTTTTCTTGCCACTCATTTGTGTGAGAAACTTTCTCCCTCTTACCTGCTGCCAAACTGTAATTTCTACTTGGAGAAAGCGGGAGGATATACTTTGTCAGTGTAAACCAGAAATAGAAAGTTTTTAAAGACCTAATGTCCCTGCTTTTGAAACCTGTTTCAAAAGGGTCCTTTTAAACATTAGACTTTGTTTTGGCTTAAGATCACATACTGGCAGGAGCCCTCATGTGTGAAAATTTGCAAATGGTTAATACAGTTTCATGCTTTCAAAATGTTACGTGCCTGTCATAAAAATTAAGTGACAGGAATTTAATATGAGAAGAACATGATTTAAATGTGATTCAGAAATAGTTAAGATTACTAATCAGTGAAACGAAGGGGGGAAAGATGGAAGTAGGCTCAAGTAATAGAGAATGAAGCTGCCTGATAGGAAGTTTTGAAGAAATGTTCAGATTAATGTGAGGATCCCCTTATTGCTCATTATAATCCCTACCTCAGTGACTACGGATGCATCTCTCTTCCTTGTGCCTGATAAGTCTAAATTCAGCAGCATCCCCACACACAATAGTAGGGCCTTAAAACTATGCAGGCAGCCTGGAGAGTTCTGAAAAACCGTGGGAGGTGAAGGAGCATTGGTGGCTTCTTGTTCTTCACGGTGATGCACTCTGTCTAAAGGAGCCGCCAGAGAGACAGTGCGGACACTGGAGAATGTGAAGGGAAGAGGAGACAGTGTAATGTGTTACCTAGGGAGAGGAATAGGGATTTCAGGGAATTGTGAGAGTATATGGCATATTTGTCCAGTTATTGAAACTTAACCATCAAGCTTCTCTTGGGTCAAACTGACTATGAAATATAGTAAGGGTAAGTCTCCTAATTAGGATGTTATTAAAAAAAAAAAGACGGAGATCAAATGAAGGATGATTCCTCATTCAGCCACCTTTATGTTTCCTGAAAGCAGGCACCCCTCTCTGAGACATAAATAGTTGAGTAAATGAAACAAATGCATGAGTAGATTCTGGCATACCTGTTTAAGATGGCCCTATTAGCTAATTGACTGCAGAAAAACCAGGAAATAAGCTGAGTGGATATCCTTTCATAAACCCTACTGGCTGAGAGGCAACAGACTGATGTAGTTAAAGCATGGGCTTTGGCTCTTACGAGATCTAGAATTCAGATCCTACATCTGGAAATCAGATTGCTCTTATTCTTGATTTTGCTATTTAATCTCTTAAAGCTTTGATTAATCATCTGATTATGAAGAATATTGTCTGTTTCATAGAATCATTATAAGGCTAAAGCTGAAGTGCTTACCATAGTGCCTAATTCAAAGTACACACTCCATGAATAGTGGCAATTATTATTTTTATTAGCAATAATAGTAGTTATTTTTACAACTGTTACTCTCTCACACTTGTTTTATCATGATCAGGGTAAAGAGAAAGTTGAAAACATTCTTTGCTAACGATGGCATAATTTTCCTGCACAGACTGGTTCTGCCTGGGTCATGCCTTGTTTTAGGGATTGCAGTTTGAGAGGTTGTTCTGAACTCTCCTTGCCCCTGAGTTTTGACTTGCCAAATTTATGCTTATTGTCCTGTTCCCTAGTTATATCAAGACATCGGGCCTCCTACACTGGATTTCTACCTTCATTCCAGCTTCCTTTAGATTCCAGTAGGTGTTCTGAGGCACTGCTTTCATTATTTCAATATATCTCTCTCCTCCCCTGTCTCCATGTTTCCTCACTAGTTATCAGATGAAGGTGAGTTCCTTAGCCTGGCTTGCATGGTTTTGAGTTCTTTCCACTACTGAATCCCTCTCAATTTGGCTTGTCCAGTTTGGCCTGGATGGTTAAAAGTTCTGCCATCTTCTGGAGCAACTGGATGGCTCAGTTGGTTGGGTTGTTTGCCTTTGGTTCAGGTCATGATCCCGGGGTCCTGAGATGGTGCCCTGTGCTGGGCTCCTTGCTCAGTGGGGAGCCTGCTCTTGCCTCTCCCTCTGCCTGCCACTCTCCCTACTTGTGCTTGTGCTCCCTCTCAAATAAATAAATAAAATCTTTAAATAAATAAAGTTCTGCCATCTTTCTACCAACTGTAGTCCAAATCTCAAAAAGCCAGTTACTCTCTGTTTAAAGCAACACTGAAGGCAGAGGGAGCTGTAGTCTTCAAATCCATCATGAGAAGGCAGTGGCCTCTTATTTACAGGGGCCCAGAGTGAGTCTGCAGCCAGTTTTGTCAATTAGGGTCTACAGTGTGGTTGTCATTAGCAGTGTCTTTCCCTGCCTTCGTGTATTCTTGCTGTAGAATTGATACGAGTAAGAGGCTTTCCTGAGTATCTTTTCCCAAACCAGTCTTCTTTATTGAAATTTTTGAAGATTCAAACAATGACATTTTTGGATCTGGAAGTCTTTGACTATATATTTGTCAGAGCTGTAAAAGCATCCTGCTGATTACTCCCATTGAAGTCACTCCAATTAGGGTTTTTCTCATACCTGTTGAGGTGTTTTCCTTGGCGATTGTTTTGGGAATATGAGTGGTATGTATCTTTTTAATTTTATCCACTTGCTCAGCATGTGCTCTATAATTGAGTTGTTTTACCTTTTCATAGGTAGCTAATCATAGTGACAACTATAAACAAGTTAAAATACTTCTAGTCCCTGATTTGTTCATTCTCAAATACTCATGGAGCACCTCTTGTGTGTAAAAAAAAATGAGCTTTATGTTGGAAATGTATAGAGATAATTAAAAATAATGGCTAATAGTTATTGGTTGTTTTCTAAGTGCCAGTCACTATCCTAAGGGCTTTGCAGCCATTATTTTATTTAATCTTCATACTCATTCTATGAGATAAGTATTATTATCCCTATTTTACCAGTAAAACTGAGGTGTGGGAAAATTAGGTAACTTGCTAAGTCACACAGTTATGATGGGGCTGGATAACCAAATAGTGGAATATGACTCCAAAGTTTATGGTTTCATCCAAATACAATCACTGCCTTTAAGATACATGTATCAACAGAGATTAAACATGAACCCATAGTACAAATAATCCAATTTTAAAATGCACCAAGGATCTGAAGATATTTCTTCAAAAAAGATGTACAAATAGCCAACAAATACAGGAAAAGATGCTCAATATCATTAGCAAGTGCAAATCAAAACTACAAAGAAATACCACTCACAGCCACTAGGATGGCTAAAACCCCAAAATAATGAGCGCTAGTGAGGGTGTAGAGAGATCGAAATCCTCCTACACTGCTACTGGGGATATAATATGGTGCAGTTATCTTGGAAACCAGTCTGGTCGTTTCCCAAAAGGAAAGAATTACCGTGTAACCCAGCAGTTCTACTCCTAGTTTAGATCCAAGAGAACTGAAAACATGTTCACACAAAAATTTGTACACAAATGTTCATAGCAGCATTATTCACCATAGCTAAAATGTGGAAACAACCCAGTTCTGTCAACTGATAAATTGACAAATAAAATGTGGTTATTCCATACAGTGGAATTTTATTTGGCAATAAAAAAATAAATGAAGTGCTGATACATGTTACAACAAGGATAAATTTTGAAAACATTATGAGAACATGTAAGTGAAAGAAGCCAGTCACAAAAGACCATATAATGTGTCATTCCATTTGTAGGAAATGTCTAAAATAGGAAAATCTATAGAAACAGAAAATAGATTAGTCTGCTGCCATGGACTGAGGGAGAAGGGAATGAGGAGTGACTACTTGGCACAGAGTTTCTTTTGGGGTGATAAAGATGTTCTAAAACGGAGTGTGATGATAGCTATACAACTTGTGACTATACTAAAAATGAATTATATATACTTTAAGTAAATGAATTGTATGGTATGTGAATTTCATCTCAATAAAACTGTTACAAATCTAAAGTTTCTAAAATAGAAAGTAGCACTTGGTAGCCGGCATACAGATGCATAACCAAATACTATGAAAATTCAGAGAAGACACCTTTCCAGGTTGCTGCAATTAGGAAAGCTTTTGGTAGAAATGGGATTAAGCATATGGAATTGGAGGAGAGGAAAAGAAGGCATTTCTTGAGAAAGAATGACAAAAACAAGAAGGAAATTACAGCCTATGTCTGGGAAATGGTGAAGGGTCTGGTTTGGCCGATAAGCTTTGCGCTGATGGTTACAATAGCCAAGTATTGCCACACTTTGGAGAATAATGGGAGAAAGCATTTAAAATTATGACTTTGCCCCCCTAAATCTAAGATGTGTGCTGTTATGATATATTATAAAGGAAGAGTAAAGCTTGAAATGATAAATTGATCTAGATGATAGTGGGAAAGGTATGAATACCAGGTAAGGAGATCATCTCTGATGCTTTTCTTTCAGGAAGCTCTACATTCCATTTTCTTATTAGCTCATGTAGACATACTTGAAAAGACTGCCGGGCTTGGGGCATTCTGTGGAAGGTAGCACCTGTAGAAAGAGCCTTATATTTGAGTACAATGTATTTTTCATGGTATCTCAGTACAGTGTTAGCGTCAGGATGTTCCTCCTCGGCATCAGAGTGGAAGTCAAATATGTATCAAGCCACAAGCCCTGTAGCATGAGTTAGAGAGATGATGTAAACTGATCACAACTATTTCACTCCATTGTGTTCCATTTCATAGTTATTTTACCGAGCTTCCTATGTAAAAAAATATGCTACATGTTGTAGGAGCTTAAAAAGAGACCTCGATCAACAGTTCATGGTAATGGATGTAGTTTTAAGTTTATTTTGAAACTTCATAGGCGTCTCCTTTACTCAGCCATTAAGAGTGATTGGAGGAACTGAGAGGTTCTGGAGATCCAAATCGAAGAATGAACTGCTTCCTATACGGTCAGGTCGGGTGTAGGATCCAGGGCAAAGCTGCCTCTGGCACCCATCCCCAGCAGGAAGCCTCCTGTTCCTGTCTTTATCTTCTTAGCTTTGTTCTAACAGGTCTGCTTACAAGGAGAAGCGTTCCTTCAAACACTGAGCTGTAGTCCGCAAGGGCTGCGTAGTGAGTGTAAGGATGGGGCAGCGGAATTCAGACCCAGACCCAGTAATCCGTATGCTAGGAGGGAAGGGCACCGTAGTAGAAAGCTGGCCACTATGGAAGTTGAGCTTAAAGGTTAATGGAGATACAAATTACACTTAACCCTAAGGAAAGAGGATAGAGACTAAGTTTCATTTCCTCTCCTTCCTGGACCTTCACTTTCTGGACAACATTATGGGTATAGGTTCTATCTGTCCATTTCCTTATTTTTCCAGTTATAACATATTTATCATAACATAAATATAAAAGGTCACCATAGAAAATTCAGAAATATATAATGGAAACAACTAAAATCACACATAATCTCGCCATCCAGAAGTAACCACTGCTAACATTTTGATGTCTTTCCTTCCTTTTCTACATGCACTTATTTTTTTTCTACAAGGTTGTAATCATACATATGTGTAAGCATATATTTTGTATTTTATTTTTCACTTAAAATTGTATCGTGAACATTTTCCGTGTCATTTATTTTTCAAAAATGTGATTTAAAAAAAAACGAGGGATCCCTGGTGGCTCAGTGGTTGAGCACCTGCCTTTGGTCCAAGGTGTGATCCTGGGATCCCAAGATTGAGTCCCACATCAGGCTCCCAGCATGGAGCCTGCTTCTCTCTCTGACTGTGTCTCTGCCTCCTCTCTCTCTCCTCTCTCTCTCTCTTTCTCTCTTTCATGAATGAATAAATAAATAAAATCTTTTTTAAAAAATGAGTGCAGAATGATTCTCACTCTTGGATATTATAACGTTCTTTTAATTTCAGTCTTTCATGCATAACATACAAACATTTCCTTTTTTATCTCACAAATGCAACTATTAGAGATATTAAGTCTCATGGAGCTCTTTAGTGACCTTTTGCTGCAACAACTTGGTAGCAACAGTAACACCGAACCTTCTCTATGGGGACTGCCATGTGACTGTCCCTTCAAAGACATGCTGACTCCTCCTCAATTTCTTTTCACCTGGTTGATCAGAGGGACCAGCTTGATACAGGTAAGCTCTCTCAATAAACAGGCTATTTAGAGAAATTGTTAGCTATGATTGTGAATTGGAGAGCCAAATGAAGGGTAATGTGACTGAAGCATTTAGGTATCCACTCCAACTGTATATCTGGTTCCTTTACACGTATGTTTCTGCATAGAGCTAGTTCGTAGACTTCTCATAGTCTCTCTATAAATGAGTCATGAAAAGGGTACCACCCCTATGGCAATACCACGGTACAATACTGGAATTCTCTGTTTCAGTAGAATAGTTAACACTTTAGTAGTGTTTGAATTTCTTTTTTTTTTCTTTCTCTTTCCTGTTATATAGTAAATTTTGTAGCACCAGATCCAATTTAATTTTAATAATGTGTTAAAGTTATTTAGAGGCACCTCAAACATGGAACACCATGATGGACATATGGAAGACAAAGAGAACCCACCCTTGCCCTTAGGGAACTTACAGTCCAGGAGGGGTGATAAGATATGCAGACAAAGAACTATAAAAAAGTAGACCTGGTTGTAAGAATATTTTTAGTGATGTAGAAATGCTCACAAAACAGTGTCTTGAGGAAGATTAAGCTGGGCACTAAATTGTATTTACAAACTGAGTTCTCTTAAAAAGTACACATTTAAAAGACTGAAAGAAAATATTCCAAAATGCTAAAAGTGGTTATCTGGTTATTGGACGTAAGAGAGATTATAACATCGTTTTTTTGCTTTCAAATGTGTTTTTACAATGAATCTGTATTACTACCAGAATTACTAAAAATATGCTTTTTTAAGTGAGGGAGTACTATATAAAAGTATAAAGTACTGTGGAAGTAGGGAGGAACAAAGACTAACTTTTGGGGTGGGGCCATCGGGAAGGCTTTAAGATTTATGTCTTTCGTAATGATGAAAAACATCCCTTGGGAAAAAAATATCTTGGAAATAGATAATGAAAATGTATTGAGTTGAAAGGCATAGTGCATTCCTACAACTTTTTTTTCCATGACATTTGACTATAATCTCTCTCTGTTGACTATAGCTCTAGTAGCTGCTAGCTGCTTATTGCCTTTTAAATTTTGCA